TAGTGAACATATTGTGTGTACTGTATATATTTAAATCAATTAATATATCTACATTTGTAATTTTCTTAATCTGTGACTCGTTGACCCGACGGGTCGGGTCAACTGTTTAAAAGTTCGAGTCGGGTCGGGTGGTACCACTGACCCGACTCGTTCGGAGCTCTATATAATATATTGTGCAACTGTTAAAAATTGTGAAGAGATGTTGGAACAATTGAATAGTAGAATTGACACCAAATATAATATTGATACTTATCATGGAGAGTTAGATGGTTTGCAAAAATGACAAACAATTCAAAAGTGGAAAAATGGTCAAATCCAACTTATGATTGCAACAAATGCTTTTGGAATGGGAATAAATACACCTGACATTCAACTTGTAATTCATAACATCTTTCCTCTGAGCATGGGTAATTAAAAATCATTTGGAAATATATATGAATAAAATCTCTAATATTTATTTTTCAAATAGGAAACTTGATACAATAAATTAGTTGTGCAGGAAGAGATAAAATCCAATCAAAAAGTGTTTGGTTTTCTCAAGAAATGACATACGATCTATATACTCTATTGTTACGGGCGGAAGAGAAGGGTGATATTTATTCTCAATTTTTATATAAAAAACATATATAATTAATTAAACCAGCCTTATATATTTTTGTAGTTCTATTAAAAATCAACAAAATATGGAGGAGGCCAGTAATTTCTGTCCTAATTTTGATGAATCCAGAGAAGCAGACCATATTAACTACTTGCTAAATAAGCAAAAAGAAATATTTAAAATGATCTATTATTGTGAAGAGCATTATACCTGTCGCCAAATGATGTTATCTAGTTATTACTCATGGCCAAATGACCAACCACTTCCTCAATGTAAAATATGTGACAACTACATCAGGCATACTAAGGAAAAACCTATTTTATGTGATATTAGCATTGATGTAGTGAGAATGATAAAGGTTGTAGATGCAGTAATTAAACATTTGACATTATTAATTAATTTAATTAATTTATGCATATGCTGTAGTTTTTTTTTTTTAATTGAAAATAATATATTAATGAATGAGATAATAATAACAATAATGAAATAGTGTTACCGGAATTAGATTTTGACTCAGATCTTTTGGTCGAATCTTTTAATTCCGGGACAATTTAAATTTTATTTATTTATATTTTTTATTAATTCTATTTATTTATTAATAACGTGTATAATTATTTATTATCATCTGAATTCGCGTCACGTTTCGCGTATTTAATTATTATTAATCAATCCGTAGCACATCCATATTTATTTAACTTTATTTAGTGGAGATTAGTGACGATTCTTCAAAACGGGCGGATTCGCGCAATTCGGGCCAATATGTAAAGAACATGTATATAAAGAACTTGATTTCGACCTAATGTAAAAGCAACTTTCTTACAAGTTAATTAGTT